AATGTTCAATGTCATTGGGACAGTCCCGATTTTGGGGTCCTGTTCCATTTTAATTCCTGTTACTGCCTTTGAGTTCTGTCTGTTTGTTACCATTTTTTAAAGAAGATTTGTCCCTTGTTACCATAGCTGCTGGTGTCCAAATCCTAATTTGAACTGTCCCTACACCTGACAAAATCCTTTAGATAGTAAAGTCCTGTCCTTCATCATTGGGTGGTAAGAACTTGGGACAGGAATAAGGGCCCAAAGGGTGGGCATGCTGTTAATTGATGGTGGGATGGCCTGTGTGAAAAAGAGTTCCATCAGTTGAGAAAAGGGTTGGGTATTAGAAGCTGCAGCAGTCTTTACGTACACTCTGTGCAGTGTGAGTCCATCTATTATAGCCCTGACAATTGTAGCCTCGACTACCAGGTTGTGTCTACTGTAAATCAATCCACAAGGCACAGACGTACTGGGTAGAAAAGGCCACTGCCTCCAATTAACATTAAATATATATTGAACCTTATAGCAACATTAGGCAATGACAATGCTTTTAACACAGGGTTAACATAACCCTAAATAACTTCCAGACTGTAATTAGTATAATTAACCATTAACAATTTAACCTTTCCAGCACCAGCTTGCTCCCAGGGACCCACCTGTTGGAACCGATCCAACTGCTGGAACAGAACCGTCTGCCCAGTCCCCCATTTAGGCTAAAAGCTCCTCTTTTGGCTCAAAACCGCTCACCAAGCCTCCATTAAGATATCACCACATCCTCATTGTGAGGCCATAAACCATCCCCAGGAGCAAGCTACTGCCAAGGCTGCGACAACGATCTCCTCTGCTACTGCTGATCTGAGCACTGCAACAGAACTACCTCTCCAGCCCCCATTTTGGCTTTGAGCCCCTCTTTTGACCCAGCCTACATTTTGAGGCCATAGACCATCCCAGGAGCAAGCCACCCCAAGGCTTCAACAATGATCTCCTTCGGCACTGCTGTCCTTGTGACGAAACACCGGCAAAACGTGGAGGTTGCACCCCAACACCCCAAACCCCATAAACTACCAAACTATGGAGGAAGGGACAACAGCAAGAGGGGACAGTTGCAAAACTAAAATGGCTGGAGTGTTTCATGTTACACCAGCCTCTACATGCTCTTCCCAATGCCCATCCCCCCTTTCTATAGCCACCAATCTATACAGCCTTGCTCAGCACAACTGTCAAGGCCCTCCTCTGCCTATTTGTCTCCATTGGACTGCATTATACTGTTTCTCAGCAAAGACTTTTCTCTAGCGTCCCAGATGGCTGGAACACGGTGAAAAAGTAGACCAAAACTGGGTTTAAATCCAGCACTCCTCAAAGATATGAAATAACAAAAATCTGCATCTGATAAATGTACTAAACTACAAAATACATCTGTGCTGCCAAAAACCACATAGGACCCTTACAAAAAGAAGGTGTATGGCCTTTTAAAATGCTGCATAGTCCTACACACAAGAATCTATCAATAGTCACCTCATTTCTCTTTGCAATGTGTACAATCTATATAGATTAAATACCCAAGCCTTTATCACAGTTGAATAATGCTTTCAATGAATATTATTGTCAAATGGTAGAGATTCGGAACACAAGAGCAGTAGGACATTTTAACTACTGAGAATTTGACTTGATGCTTAGATAACCCCTTATTTGCTTAATTGGAAAACCTGATTAAGACTTTTAAATATAGAGTGGATTGCATGATGTGTAGAAAGCAATCTGGCTCATGGACGCAAATGAAACATTCTCAGAAAATAGCGCGGTGACAGTTCTGCTGATCACTCCAATCCGAGGAAGAGATATCCGTGAATGAAAGCTAATGTGCTAATAAAAACGTCTTGTATCACATTAATCACGTTACTCTGCAGATTGATAGCCAATTTCTGGAGCAGGTTTCCAAGAGTTGAGCATAAAAAAATGTGGAAATCACAAATAAAGCACATTTAGAATTAGTTTAATTTGAATTAAGTAGTCACATAAATACTCTTTAAAAACTATTCAGTTTTTCTAATCAGTTGCTAATTTCCTAATTCCATGACACTGCTATATAGGTGTGTACATTATTCTAGGACAGAATACAACACTACTCCAGTCTACAAGGCACAGAGTGATGAGAACTGGAGCTCAACACCAGAATGTGCTCATGGCCTAAATCTTAAACTATCAGAGATTATAATATGAAAGATTTAAAAAAAATCTTTCCTCCCCTTTTCCTATCCATCATTAATTTGTATAATCAGCATCCTTTTGCACAAAACTTAATGGAACACGTCAAGTACCATAACATCAGTGCAAGGTAGTAGTTATGGTGCTAGGTGAGCCTTGAAACACTGCTGTTATGAGCAGTGAAACCATTTTTTATAACAGTTTGACTTCTTTACTTGCGGTCTGCTGGGCGCTCTCCCTGCCCCTTCTTGTCTGATCTGAGAGACGGAAGCTCCCACTCTGTGCAAGGCCAGCTCATTGGCTGAAGTGGCAGCTGGTCTCTCGTTGTCAATGAGCTATGAGCTCTGCACCAATTCTGAGAGGCATAGAGCGGCACCCAGTGGGCCACAGGAAAGAAGTCAAACCGTTAGCAAATGGTTTGACTACTTACAAGAGAAGGTGTCAGGATACTCCTGGTACCATAACCACTGCAGTGTGCTGTAACAATTATGGTGATTGATGTATTCCTTTAACCTCCTGGGAACTGTGAAAAAATGCTTGCTGCTACGCCATCTATTTTTTATGAAAAGGAAGAGGACGTTCCCAGCATCCCAGCCTATCACATGACATATCACTGTTTGTTCTCTTTACAATACAGCAGGGATTTATAGAGTAGCTCAAAAGAATAAAAGGAGATGCATGTGAATGGAATGCCCCGTACAGAGGAAACACGTTAATGGGCTGGGTCTATAGGAAGGATAGAATAGAGAGAATGTCCTTTTTTATCACCTTTTGCATGGCTATGTTCTCAAGCATCAGACCTACGTTCAGAGATGTAAACATCTACAGCTGTACTTTTAGAATCTAGGACATTATTTTCATATAGAAGGTTCTATCATTTAAGAGACTATCTGGTAGTGACAAACATAGAGACTACGCGGAGAGCGATAAGGTTATTTTTTTTGGAACCCAGGAATGAGACATTCTCTCACTTGAGTTGTCCTCACTGAAATTATGTCTTCAATGGAAAATTCTTTACACACCTCCTATTGGAAAAAATATAAAATACATTAAAATTATAAATCTCTGTAAAACATACAAACAGCGGCGTACCTAGAGCATTTGGCACACGGGGTGGGTCCTATTTTTGGCACCCCCCCTCCACCCCCCAACTTTAAAATGTAAAAAAACAACCACAATTTAAAAATAAATAAATGTATTGAGCACTAAGCAGTGTTTATGCTTTTAAATGTAAGCATGTTTTTGTATGGAGTATGTTTGAGTGAATGTAGGATGTGTGTTTGTATGTGGTGTTGGCGTTTGAATGCAGGCATGCATTTTTATGTAGTGTGGTTTTTGAAGGCAGTGGTGTGGTCATATATAATGGTGGAGTTTGTGTGTAGTGTTGATGTTGAAATGAAGGGGTTTATTTGTGTGTAGTGTTGGCGAGATTCTGAGATGTATGCACATATACACACTGGCACACATGCAGATACATACACATAGTCACACACACTGACACACATGGAGACACAGTGGCAACTCTAGGAACAATATATACGGGGGTGGGCACATAAGATACCACAATCCAAACCGGGGAGGCACTAAAACTTTTCACTAGGGGATGGGGTAATGTGCTGCCATTGGCTGCCTGATGCCAGCATGCAGTGCACATTGGCATCAGTCAACACATTTGCATATAATTTACATTAGCCACCCTGATTTCTTGTTCGTGGGCTAGCTGACACCTCTTAACGTTGATCTTTGTTTATCAGATAACTCCCTTATTTGCTATCCTTATGTGGGATTGCCATATTTAAGGACACCAAATAAGGATAAGGGAGCCATCTGCTAAACAGCACCCTAATTTGGTATCTTTAAATATGGAAATCTCACATAAGGACACCAATTTAGAGACTTATCAACTAAACAGCTAAAAGATCAATTTAAAAAAACAAACCTTTTCTTAATTTCAGTTGTTTAGTAGATAACGCCCTTATTTGTTATCCTTATGTGGGATTGCAATATTTAAGGACACCAAATAAGGGAGCTATGTACCAAACACATACACATTTATATACACACACAATAACACAATAGGTGTTTGTCTGTGTGTGTATATCTGTGATTGTGTGTGTGTGTGTATACGTGTATGTATGTGATGTTTGCGTGTGTATATCTAATTATGTCTGTTTGTAATTGTATGTGTGTGGATCTGTGATTGTGTATGTCTGTGTTTATGTGTGTGTATCTCTGTAGTTAAGTGTGTGTGTGTGTGTGTATATATATATATATATATACACACACACACACACACACACACTTAACTACAGAGATACACAATCACAGACCCACACTATTATAATTACAAACACACATAATTAGATATACACACGCAAACATCACATACATACACACATTTAATAATTAAGAGGTCCACCCAGCCTCCCTACCTTTCTCTGGGAGGGCTAGAGTGGATCCTCAGTCCCTGGTAGTCAGTGGTTGCTGCTGGGATCACTGTGCTCTTCATGCACACGTCCCTTGCACATCCTGTAATATGACGCCGATGCTTGGATGATGTTATGTGCCGACTCACTGCCAGGCGCAGACAGTCAGATACAGTCAGATGTACACAGTTATACGCATATACTGCCAAATAGAGCCACATGCACAACGTACCAAACACATAGTCACTTGCACACTGTCAAACGCAAGCCTGCAGGTAGACAGTAACACACACAGTTATAGACAGACAGTCACACACACACACACACACACACACAATTACAGGCAGACTGTAACATAGTTACAGGCAGCACACAGTCACACACACTCAGTGACATGCAGACAGTCACACATAGTCACAGGAAGACAGTCATACACAGTCCCAGGTAGACAATCACAGGCAGACATTCATACATACAGGCACAGGCAGACAGTCACATACACAGTCACCAAAAGTCAGTCTCACGCACAGTCACAGGAAGACAGTCACACTCAGTCCCAGGTAAGCTGTCACAGGTAGACGTTCACAGGCATAGACAGTCACAGTCACAGATGCAGTCCCAGGTAGACAGTCACAGGCAGACATTTACACACAGTCACAGACATTTACAGGGAGACAGTCATAGACGCAGTCACGGGCAGACAAACACACAGTCACAGTCAGAGAGTCACAGGCAGACAGTCACAGACACAGTCACAGGCAGACATTTACAGGCAGACATTTACACACACACAGTCACAGATAGTCACAGGCAGACATTCACACACAGTCACAGATAGTCACAGGCAGACATTCACACACAGAGTCACAGATAGTCACAGGCAGACATTCACACACACAGTCACAGATAGTCACAGGCAGACATTCACACACAGAGTCACAGATAGTCACAGGCAGACATTCACACACAGTCACAGATAGTCACAGGCAGACATTCACACACACAGTCACAGATAGTCACAGGCAGACATTCACACACACAGTCACAGATAGTCGCAGGCAGACATTCACACACACAGTCACAGATAGTCACAGGCAGACATTCACACACACACAGGCAGACAATCACAAGCAGTCTCACACACACACACACACACACACTCTCTCTCTCTCTTAGTTACTGGTGGAGGAGTGGAGTCAGTGAGTCCCTGGTGTGTTGGAGTTGGGGAAGCAGGGACTCTTTCCTGCTTCCCCTCAGTGTGCTGCAGTGAAAGGCAGCAAATGGAGGCTGGCTGTAGCTCCGCCTCGCATCCGGTTTGGCTCTGCCTCCATGGCAGAGTTGGCTCCGCCCCAATTATCTGTGCAGTACTTCTGTACTGCTGAATTCCCAGCCCCTGCGTGTGTGAGCTGTGTGGCTCCTGGTGCCCTGTGCAGCCACACAGCTCACAGAGTCACAAGCCTGGCCAGCCTTGGAAGCACCCCCCGAACTGTGGCACCCGGGGTGGACCACCCCCCCCGCCCTCCCTTTAGTACGCCACTGTGTGGGGGGATTAATACAACAAAGAAAGATGAAGATGCTATAGCTTTAGACGAGTTAAACAAGGTTAGCGATACAAAGTTGGAAGATACATACATATATGTATTTATAATATTATAGTGTTCCTGGCCAGTTTTAAATGATTGGGCTCCCCTTTAAAATAAAAATAAAATAAAAACAAACTCACCTTTCATCAATTGCTGCAACAGTCTCCAGCTGTATTATTATTTTATATATATAGCGCCAGCAAATTCCGTAGCGCTGTACAATGGGTGCCACCTATTGCGAGATCATCACTGTTATGAGCTCTGGCCAAATCCAATGCTTCTCATTAGAGAAACATTGGGGCCTTACTTCACCAATCAGAATTTTTTTTTTTATTATTATTTTTTTTTATTTAGACATTATCGACTACATTTTATAGGAAGACATTATTGAATACCACAATCCGCTTCTCAGTGGTCTTACATGCTCCCAACTTGCACCATTGCAATTTATATTGAATTCGGCGGCGAGGTTAATCTTCCTGTCCGCCCTCACCTGCCATGCGTCACCCCTCTGCATTGGCTTCCCATAAGATATAGGGTCCCTGCATTGGCTCCCGGTAAGATATAGGGCTCAATATAAAATTGTTTATTGCTTTCATAATGCTACTTCCACCTATCTATCCCCCCAAGTTTGTCCCGTGTAGGCTCCTACGCTCTGCTGAAGACCTACGTCTATACTCCCACCTCCGATGCTCGCTTTCAAGACTTCTCTAGGGCTGCACCGTTCCTGTGAAACTTCCTTCCATTTTCTGTTAGACGCTCACCCAGTCTCCACTCCTTCAAAAAATCTACTTCCCTAATATTTCCCTTACATTTTGTGTCACTTTACCCCACTCCCTCTAGCATGCAAGCTCATTAAGTAGGGCCCTCAACCCCTCTGTTCCTGTGCGTCAAACTTGTCTGGTTACAATTACATGCTTGTTAGTCCACCCATTGTAAAGCGCTACGGAATTCGTTGGCACTATATAAATATAATAATAATCGCTATTCTACTCTATGATGCGGTTAAGCTGTGTTCGGAGTCATCAAGCTGGGCATGATGATGTAGAACATTAAGGACTTAAAAAACTAAACTTTCTAAAGGATGAAGCACGTTTGAGGGGGTGGGGTGGAGTAGGGTGGGCTGTATCTGAGCACTAAGACCAATACATTTAGATATAGTATTATTGCTGCTTACGGTGTCCCTTTAAGTTCTAGGCCAGATATGAAATAAATTAGTGTTGTACAGAGGAGAGATAAAAATAGCCTTACAGAATACAGGTCCATACAGATCCAAGCACATATATTAAACAAAGCCCTAATGTAAGAGTGTACAGATCAGGACATGTGTATAAAAGAGAAAAGGGCAAATAGGACACATAAAGAAACATAGGAAAGGTTAAAGGATCTTAACATGTATAGCTTGGAGGAAAGACGAGACAGGGGGGATATGATAGAAACATTTAAATATATAAAGGGAATCAACACAGTAAAGGAGGAGACTATATTTAAAAGAAGAAAAACTACCACAACAAGAGGATATAGTCTTAAATTAGAGGGACAAAGGTTTAAAAATAATATCAGGAAGTATTACTTTACTGAGAGGGTAGTGGATGCATGGAATAGCCTTCCAGCTGAAGTGGTAGAGGTTAACACAGTAAAGGAGTTTAAGCATGCATGGGATAGGTATAAGGCTATCCTAACTATAAGATAAGGCTAGGGACTAATGAAAGTTTTTAGAAAATTGGGCAGACTAGATGGGCCGAATGGTTCTTATCTGCCGTCACATTCTATGTTTCTATGTTTCTATGTTTCTAGGTAAAAGGTTCAGAGACAACGGGCAAATACGTGCATATTCAGGATAGACACCAAGGATCTAAACTTATAGCAAGATTGGTAGGCGTAGGCAGAAGTGGATTAAGGTTGCCCAGGGGGCATAGAGCTGATGCCAGAATTGGCCACCCTTCTAGAGCCCTTGGCTCTGTTCTGTGAGTTTTGTCTGTGGCTGAGTGTTGTATCTGTCTGAGTCGAGGCCTTAAATTGTTGGACCCCAGTCAGAGTCAGACCGATTGACTGCCACCGATGCCACCATATGGGCAGAGGGGAAAGTGAGCAAAGGGAAGCTAAAAAACAGGGCATAGAGGACAGAAGGTAGGACTTGAATACAGGAGACAAGCATAATAGAAACACTAAGTGCACAGAGAAGAAAGGCAGGCAGAGGTGGAGAGGATTGTTACATATGAGACAAAGAGAAACATGGAGGAAGATCTGAACACAGATACAAAATATGGAAGAAAAAACAACAAATGGCTTCATAATTGCACAAAGGGGGTAGACTAGCTTTAGGTGTGACAGTAACACTCCTTGCTACACAGGAGAGCCCTACTAGAGACAGTATTGCTTCATCTTCACACCCTCTGGCTGTTGCAGGTCAACAATTCCCACCACTCTGATTAGTGAGTAGCTTAGAGTGATGGACATTGTAGTCCAGCAGCGATATACACGTGCCAGGCTTGCCTTTAGAGAGATAATATCATTATTTTTATTTAATTATTTTTAGATTTCATTAATAGAATGTTGCATGGGGAGGTCTCTGTCTCAGTCCTTTAAACATTTGAGCTATTTGTGCATACACATTCAGGGTTATTTACTGGCGATTGCAAATTCTAGGCCAGAATGGAATTGGAAAAAGTCTATCTCAGCGATTTTTCTAGTTCAGTTATTTTTCTTCTATAATTAGTACTTCTCTGACAATTCCTGGTTTAGCAAATATTCCTGTATATTTCTTATATTTTAAAGCCTGCAGACTGCCCGAAACATTATTATACAAGGTCTCATGCCATACAATACTGACACAGTTTTTTTCGTTTCTTAAATTATAAGTCCATTATATCTGCAGTTATGTAATCAACACTGAGATATAGAATCAATTCCAAATCAATGCTGAGGTACCATCCACAACTAAATGTGCTTCACTATGAGGAATTCGTAGGCCTTTCAATATTTATTTTCCATTCAAATATCCTTCATTCACATATCTACAAGGATGGGTTTTGTTAGCCTGTCATAAAATTGCATGGCCATTTGTATACAGTATTCTCATGTACTAGCCAATCAGTACAGATCATTTATTTTCAGACACCGATGTGACTAATTCATTGGAGGCAGCGTGTGAGTGTAATACAATTCCATCCATAGTGCTTAAAGCAACACTCCAAGCTTCATAACCACTAAAGCCTGCTGTAGTGGTTATGGTGCCAGAAGTGCCCTGACGCATTTATTTTTGTCCCGCTGGAACTCAGGTAAGTGTCAGCACTAATTTTGGTCTTCTCAAG